TTTTTAGATATGTACATTTCATGACAGAAAGAAACATTTTTCCTGTTATACATGTATGTTGACTGCATTCATGTAAAATTGAAAATGTCATCTATCATCAACTTATACACTAACATGTAGTACATCTTATTCAATATGTAGTGCTGTATTATTTCATTATATATCCCAGCATGCATCAGTACACCACCAAATTATGCAAAACTGTTAATATTTGCGTCCAGAGAATAAAAAAACTACTTAACACTTTAATACAGATGTGCTAAGACCATAAACAACTTTCCAAATAATATAGAATGTATTAATTATTATAACCGATAGACTCTCTAATTAACTTTAATTATGCATACAACATTAATTATATATTCATATTAATTATGCATTCAACAATCTTTCATAGTACCAGTGACCATACAAATATAGTAGTTTTTTCAAGCATTCTTTCATATTTTTTTGTTTGCTTTTTTTTCTTTTCTTCAGCTATCAGACTACCAGCTCGCGATTAAAAGAATGGAATGAGAAAGTTACCCAGTCGTCAGCGTGAGTGTACATTTCTCATGATCCTCTACATCTAGGATCTGATTTTTGGAAACTCTCTCTGTCTCTCACTACTGACACTGACTTTTGGCATGCAGTGTTTTTTTTTCTGATCTGTCTCTTAACAAAACAACAACATGATGTAGTTAGAATAATACTCTAACAATATTTGCTTGGTTCATAGTGCATTATTAAACACTCGCACTGTCCACTGATAAAAAGGTTGTGCCTGAAACTCACTGCTAAAGCTTTTCTTTACTCAGCTAGTCGGTTTTATAAATAGCTTAGATTGCTTTTTGTGCACCATGAATTCAACAGCAAAAAATCTCTTGTGTTGATTTACAAAATATGATTCAATTTTTTTGAAATATTAAGTCTTCATTTCTACCATCTACAACCAAGGACAGCATAACATAACATAATCAATAGTCTACATGCTATGCTAGTGTTATGTGTTTTGTTATTTTCTGTTAAGTTCATGTCAGTGTCAATGCTTTCTAATTTCACTCACTCTGCAAGACATCACCCAAAGTTGACACACAGATACAGACACAAGATACAAAGTGAAACTCAGATACCATTCTTCCATGGTCCATGATTCATTGCGTCAAATGTTTCAGATACCATGCTTCCATGGTCCATGATTCATTGCGTCCATAAACTAAACGTATCTGAAACTTTTGTGTACCTGATAAATAACCAATAAGTCTAGCGCAATTCGATTCTGTGATAGGTGTTGTTAAATTCCCTGTTAGGTGTAAATAATTTTATTCAAAGTAACAAATTTGATTGGTTATTTTTCATTTAGAATATACAAATCTCTTTATACATTTGTACATTGTTATCAGCAAACATTGTCAAATCAAAGTAATTGTAATCCTTCCGTGTTCCCAATTTACAATACAGAAATACTGCACTAGACACTGCTACTTATTAGAGGGGTGTATTGTATTTCTAATCTCACTGACACATGTGACCATTTAAAGCTTGCTGTCATGTGACGACTATCCACTTTTACTATAAAGCATTTTGTCTGAAGTGCCCAATCCAAATTTCCTATATATCCTTTAGACAGTATTTTAAGGCCCATATGGATGGTACAAATACATTTTTAGGATTTAAAGTTCACAAATAGGGACTTAAAGATTGACCTCAGTCTGTGCATTCCTTCATCTGTCTGTGCGTATCCAGCCATACAATGTATCTCACACATGGGCCTAAACTTCACACATACCCGGTACATCATATTGGACATATGCACATGCATTTGTTTGATGATCCAATTCAAGATGGATGAATGGCAGCCATTTTAAGGCCAAAAGTGTATCAAAATAATATGTTTTACATAAATTGAACATAATGGGACCATGTTTTCGAATTGTGTTCAAAATGGCTGACTGGGGGCCATTTTCTTTGATCATACCTTGACTAAACACGTGCAAACTTCATGCGTACATCAGACATAAATTGTATTAAATAAATGTATGTGCATTTTTTTCACCATGCATCAAATTCAAAATGGCTGACTTTCGAACATAGTGGGTTTGTTTCATGTCTGTCATGTAATAATTTTATAACAGCTAAAAACATTTTCAGAAACAGAATTCTATTTCCATCACAGGCGATTTTTTTCAATGTAAACAAAATTAAGTGATCTGATGAAGTAATCTAAAACATACTCGGTATTGGCAATGTAGTTAAGTAACCCTTTTAAAGAGAAAATTCAATAAAATGAATTCAAATACATTTTGAAAGAATGCATATACAGCTTTTTACAGAACTTCAATTTCTTTGTTTTCTGTGCTAGATGTAAAATAATAATATACACCATATAATAACTTTTTAAAATATCTGAGTACAGTGATGAAATGTTATACTATAGAATATAATAACTAGCTTATAAAACAACTCAAATGTGGGTGTGTGTAGATGATAAAACATTTTTAATCCAAACTGCTTTTTTAGCTCCGCTGTCGACTTTGTCGAGCGGAGCTTATCATATGAGTGATTGTCCGTCGTCCGTGTCAATGTTTTACTTTTTCGACTTCTTCTTGAAAACTACAAGCCTGAATGCTTTGATACTTGGTGTATATGTACCTTGGGTAGACCTCTCTTAGGTTAAATCATTTCATGTTGATATCTTCAATTCTCTAATTTTGGTGAATATTTTTGTCATTTTTGGTAGAAAGTGATATTTTCGACTTCTTGTTAAAAACCGCAAGTGCAATTGCTTTGATATTACATTTATAGATACTACATGTGGACCTCTCTCAGATTTGTTCATTTTGTAATGATATCTTTAATTCTCTAATTTTGGTGAATATTTTTGTCATTTTTGGTAAAAAGTGATATTTTCGACTTCTTGTTAAAAACCGCAAGTCCAATTGCTTTGATACTACATATATAGATACTATATGTAGATCTTTCTCAGATTTGTTCATTTCGTGATGTTATCTTCAATTCTCTAATTTTGGTGAATATTTTTGTCATTTTTGGTAGAAAGTGATATTTTCGACTTCTTGTTAAAAACTGCAACTCCGATTGCTTTGATACTATACATATTGTTCATTTTCTAATGATGTCTTCAGTTCCTTAATTGAAATGTGCATTGCTAACAGCAGAGCTACATGTATCTCAGCCGATAGGCTGCTTGTTTGCATTTTCTTTTCAGTAATTTATTAGATGAACAAAGATCTTGTAAAATTGCTTTCACTAGTGCAAAAATTATAAATATGACTGTCGCTATTTTAGTGTTTGTTCACTTATTTTTTGTCATAATCGAAAGTTATCATAAACTGCATTACATTATACTTAGTGATCTACACTACAAATTTACAATTATGTAATCTTTGTTTTACTTCTCATCTTCGTCACTCTCACCTCATATTCATTATCAATTTAACTGTTTCTCAAAATGTTGATACAATGTTTTGCTCGTTTTCATGAAATTTTCTGTAATTTATTTGTTTATTTGGACCAGATTGATTTCATTTCTCATTGACTGCAGATCTTGATCAACAATTCAGAAAAATTTTTGAACAATTACAAGCGTAGGGTGAAAGTTAAATGTACATTGCTCCTAAACATTTGTCTGCAATATTAAATTGGCAAGTTTCTAAATATTCTATTTATTACATAAAATAATAAATCAGTCTGAAAGGTTTTGACATGCTCATGAAAGATGTGTGGCTGTCAGTGTGAAAGAAAGATATGTTGTAGCACCACCATGCTGCCATCTTGAACAATCTTTTGTTTTTACTTCTGCCTGCCTGCCTCTATAACAATTCCTTGAATATTATATCATCTCATCCTGTATCTTCAGCACATGGGAGCCATATCATAATTTTTGTACATCTCACTAACAGTATTTTTCAAATAACTACATGTTCCATCAGTTTGGTGAAATGGCTTTACTATGATGTCCAGGAATTATTCTGCCCATTGCTGTATTTTTTATGATTAAATTTTTCTCTCAGATATCAGAAGACTAATGAAAAATTTACTACTTGGAATGATCAACTTGTTAGTTCTGATGCGTAAGTGGCCTAAATCAACACATTCCAAGTATTTGCATAACTCAAACTGAGGTTTTATGTATCAGATTGTACTTTCTATGTACCCTGCATTGTGCAATTTTAGTGAAAAGTTTAGTTTGTCATCTTATCAAAGTATAATCCTGTTACATTTGATGAACACTTCTGTGGAATGGATGTTTAGAATGCACTTACATACATGTAAATGATATCAATGTGTCTTTACTCAGAATAATTTAGCAAGTGATAAATGCATGTTTTGTTTATGTGTGTTAGCTCTGATGGAGCTAATACTGTGTTTGTACTTGTGCATTGTACATTTAGTGTTAATTGTTGCATCTTTTATTGTCATTTCTGTGACAATCATGTGTGATATCAATTGGTATGGTGGTGGTCATCAAATGTAAAAACATATTTAAGGTTGAAATAACTGATATTTGTCAGGTGACATATTTTTGACTCTCCATTTCAATATATATTGCACAAATTAGGGATATCCAGCCTTGATTTCTAAGTAGAAGCTTTCCAATTCAAAATTGAAATGAGTTTTCCTCAAAAGTGTGGTCCTAAATACTGGGGACTTCTGGCACATTCATTGACCAACGATATTGGAAAGTGAATAGATTCAACACTGGTGTTCATCATTTCATGATGACTGTAATAAAATAATTTACTACATACACAAATTTGTTTCATCATTTTTAGATTAGGAGGTAACATTGTTGCTATACAGCTGTATTGTCAGCCAATTTGCATAAGTGATATGTTGTTAAATTACTTATGTATTTTTTTTTTTTCGATGAGTAACCATGATTTTGAAGATTATATGAATAGATTTTTAAACAACCTGATTTAAAACTGTAACATGTTTTTTTTTTACCTAGTAGCTAGGTGCATGTCTATGCTCAGTGCTGTTGAATTTTGACATTCAGTAATGAACACTGCCCTCTATAGTTATAGATGCAATCATTATCTGGTATGCTGTTGAAATCTTTGCATGACATTAATACTGCCCTCTATGGCTACATTATACACTTATACTTTAAGGTGCTCTCGACATTGCACAATGAACACTGCCCTCTATGGATATAGATGCATTTATGATCTAGAATACTGTTTTTGTTTTGCAGTTACACCAAGACTAAAACTGGATTAACTAGTGCTTCACAAAAGACTGGTGCTGCTTTCTCTTCATTTGGCAGCGCTGTTAGTAAGAAGATGGGTGAGATCAGAGGTTCAAATGCCTTTAAATCAATGGAAGAAAAAACCTCTAGTTTTGCCAGTACTGTCAAGGTATGTATTCACGTTAAAGGAAAGCAGAGGTCTGGCTTTTACTGCTCTGTGCAGGGAAGTTTGGATCAATGAAAGAATTATGTCAATAAAAACAACTTGTATCTGCAGCAGCGTGCCCTATATATCGGGTATAAAAGAGGCTGTGAAGTACTGTAAAGGGGTTAATTATTCACTGGGTTTTAATTTTGCTTATTTCGCTGACTGGAAAATGCGCTAAATTAAAACCCATTGACTATGTAAAATTTAGCATGGAACACATTATCTAAATGATAAAACCGTGAATTTAAAACCCGCTGAATATGCCTGAAATGGGAAATCAGTGAATTTTAACCCAGTGAAAATTAGTGATTTTACAGTAGACAACAAATGTTCACTTTGCATGACGTCATTTTGCCTCTAGAGGGCTAGTGAATGATGTCACCAATAAACAATGACACCTGAACCCATTTATTCTAGTTTGTTAACCCCATTGTAGTGCTACTATAAGTCCATGTTACTGACAATTTATAAGTTAAAACATGGTGAGGTGTTGTGCGTATGGATGCCAAAACCGTTCATGTAATATCCCATTTGATGCTAAGTTTTTTATATCCCATATAAAAAATTACATTGTTGATTGTAAAAAACGGCAGAGGAACTAACCTGGAAATGACGACACATGTGTACGAGTTATTAGTAGACAGTGAGTGAATAAATATTGCAATGTACAAGTTCAAACTAAATCGACCACTTATCACTTAATTACAGACTACACAGTTTTTTTCCGTTTATTCCTATCAGTGTTATATTTGTTTGAAATTAAAGTTATTGGGTTGGAAATAATTTATTAGCTCATCAAATTTGTCATTTCATATAAACATGCATGTATGATAGATGGCAGACTATCTATCATGAGATTTATTTTATTGCATGGGAAAAAAACAGGAAGGGTAAAAAGGACGATGATCATCATTGTGATGTGTCCTCTTTGATGTGTGTCCCATGTGGTGTATACAATCAATATACACCATTGATGTACTTTGCAAATCAGACAATCATACCATACTTGTGGTACATTTTGTGGCAGTACGTCATGTCAGAATATTGTTTAAAGGGCGGCAGTCGTCGTGCTGTGTCCTGTTCAATATGGGACTCACAGCGACGCATACAATGCGACGACCACCACGCTTTAAAATAAAATATTCCATCCCAGTAAAATCTAGGTCAAAGAGTCAGATTGCTTGCATATAATTATAGATATTTCATTACCGGTATTTATAAGTATTTCAACTTTAGACAGCTATGAACACCAGAAAGACAACTATAAACCAATGTGAACCTTTGAACATTTTTAGTAGTTTGAACTTTAAACGCAACCTGTTATTGCAACCATATTTACAACACCTCACCATGTTTTAACTTTTAAATTGTCAGTAACAAGGACTTATAGTAGCACTACTATGGGATAAACAAACTAGAATGAATGGTTCAGGTGTCATTGTTCAATTGTGAAGTCATCCACTAGTACTCTAGATGTGAAATGACACTTTGCATAGAGGAGATTCCTCTATTTCACAGCCCAGATTATACCCCATATATAGGGCATTCCGCAGCGTATACAAGTTGTTTTTATCACCAGAATCGTATTTCATGTATGAGTAACAAAAGCCAGACCTCTGTTTTCCTTTATTCAGCAAATGATGTCAACGATCTCCAGTTTTCTCTTCTTATTTTGAAAACATTGATGACCATCATATTCACAAAATATTACTTTTATAATATATATCATTTTGATAAAACTGACAACTAAAATAAGAATACAAACATATTTGTTAAAAAATATAAATATTTAATAAGACTGATTATAGTAGATATAGAACTTAATTATTTATTGTAAAATACTGAAGTGTTGCAAGCTTCAAGGTCAAAGTTAACAGTGTAATATTCAATTTATATGCATTAATATACATAATTACCATACAGCAATCATAAACTCCCCTCAGTGTCATATTATTTTGAAATTAAAGTTATTGGGTTGGAAATAATTTATTAGCTCATCAAATTTGTCATTTCATATAAACATGCATGTATGATAGATGGCTGACTAGCTATCATGAGATTTAACATCACTTTAAAATACTGTTATTTTATTGAATGGGAAAAAAACAGGATGAGTAAAAAGGGCAGTGATCGTCATCGTGATATGTCCTCTTTGATGTGCATCCCATGTGGTGTATACAATATGTGTAGAATACATTTGTTTGAAAGCAGATCGCCAACCAGCAATCGGCAGCCAGCAATCGCTAGCCAGCGATCGCCAGCCAGCGATCGCTAGCCAGCAATCGCCAGCCAGCGATCGCTAGCCAGTAATCGTCACTGTATGAACAACAACACATCCAATTTTGGATTTAGATTTCTGAAATGCACTTTGTTCAATATTCCAGGCAAGATAATCAACCATAATTTATAATACAAATGTAACTCTGCTGTGTTTAATTAGCTAATGAACTATGTCAAAAATTATAATTTGGTCTTACATTTTCCCTGTTTTTATGTGTTTTGGAATAATTTTTACCAAATAGATATAATTCCTTATTGGTTGCAAGTCTTGATCCAAATTTAAAAAACAAAATCCGCAAAAAAACTTTTGTGGTGACATAACCTTGGCAGTGAAAGAGTTAATGCAATGTGTGGGTCAGAGTGAAAACATCACAGTCGCATATCAGGTACTGTTATGGTATTTAAAATTTTCAAAAGATTTTGAGAAATGTTGCATGGATATTTGATGAAAAATTCAACTGCTGAAAGCATCATAACACTAACAGGCAAATAATGAAGATCATGTTGTTGATTTAAAATATAGAGGATTCTGGTAAAAATAACATTGTACCATACCAATATAAAAGAAATATTAATAATAAAAAGTGCTTTGTATAAATATTGATTGAATGATTTATCACAACCTTTATTGTACTTTCTTTTGATAGACTGTAGTGACTGGACAACCAAGTCCTACAAACCAGGAGGGTTCCAGTTTTGAAGATGCTCTTAACAGCACTGCAGAAGAACAACACAAACAACATGATGAAGCTGATCTAGTTAGTCCAGGAACTAATACTTTGTCAGCAGAGGACAAAATTCCCTTATGAACTATTAAGCTTAATTGATTGACTGAACACACTTGAATCTGCTATGTAGGGTGTTTTATTTTCAGAATGGGTTTTTAAATTCTGGTCATTGTCTTCTGTTCTCTTGCTGTTGTAATTGCATAAAATTATATCCAACCACAATTATTTAAGTGCAATGTATACATTACTATGTACGTTACATTATTTTGTAGATCTGAGATACATGTTTCAAAAATGTCTGATCCACATTTCCTTTAGGTAATATTTCATAAAACTTGCATTTAAGACAGAACACATGGCTTTGAATATTTAATTTGTTATTGTCTTACTTCAACACTTTACAAATCTCCTTATTTTATTGTGCATATCGCTGAAAACATTGGTCAATTATTTTGAAATGACTCAAATTTACATCGAGAATTGCAGGCAGAATTGTGCTCAAAGGTTAAGTTTGACATTATCATGGTAACAAAAGTTAAAATTTTGGGCTTGACATGTGCTGAAAAAAAGATTGGTTCGTTGTTGATTCATCTATCAAGCAAGCTTCATCACTTTGTGTTATTGTGTATTAAATTCCATATGAGAACTCTCCTATTTATTACTTGTATCTGTAGACTACAGGAATTTTAGTTATTGAAGTTAGTTTTCTAAATGTACGAATTATTCATCAAGCCATTGTGTATATAGTTATTAATTCCTTTGATTAATCCGTATCTATCTTCTTTCCAACATGCAATTTAGTTCCTATATGTATATTCATCTGTTTTCACACAAGCATGGTCATATAATAGGTACATTCACCAAGGCAAGTTGATATACTCTTCAATCAGTTTCATTTTCGTCTTTTACAAAGTGATGTTGATTTTGTGCTTTGGCACATGTACTTACACATGTCCAATAATAACTTAGTTTTGCTGGAGAATGAACAGGATATATGTATGATATATGGTGTGTACCATCTCTCAGGCATGTAGATTGCCGTATTTCGCAGGTGTGGATCTTAAGTCCGTCTGTAGCATCATAACTAGGACTAAACGTTCACTACTTGGTCACTATTCAAACTCCACAGCAGTCAAGGCATATTATTTGCAAATGTAATGTGGTTGCCTGAGAACAATTATTCCCAATCAATTTACAAATTGCTAGAATGAAACTTAGTGAGGATAAATTGCATTATTAAATTTTTGGATGATATGGTTAATCTCAATAAATTGAGTTGTTTATGTCAACTATGATTATCTGCTTATTGTTCCATAAAACAGTGATGATTTGATCAGACAACCTAATTACATTTTTATCATGACTGTGAATTGTTTGTATCTCTACCATATATGGCCGATCCTTTGTACCTTTCCATTCAGACAAGATCTGTGCTGTGAATATATTACCGGTAGTACATTTTGCAAATCATAAACACATTTCCATAGCAAGTGTAGTACATTGTACACTGTGTTTTTCTAGCATATGACGAATTTGAAAAGCATGAAACTGTGTCCATGCTTGATGTAACTTCTTTCATTACTATCAAAACTACATATTTCTACCAGAAGTGCAATTCAAAAAGTGTTTATTTCTGTGTATTTACGCAATGTCCTTGCCGTTCATTGATAGTTGGCATTGGATTATGTGCACCATTTCGAATTGTCACAGCATGTATAACTAACTAGTTTGCAATGTTCTCTTAATAATATATGTATCCCATGTTCTCTCTAATTGCTATTCTTCATTATTTTATCTGTTTTCGATTCTAAGTCGTAAAATCTGTTGTTTGCAAATGATTTGAGTTAGTTTGTATCATAATGTTGACAACCATTAGGTTATAGGTGTAATACATACATGGTATATGGATATGGAGACTCCATATCGTTCATATATTGTTGAGAAACCATAATACAGAGAGAGACACACAATTTAATATCTTATTCGTGTCACGGCTGTTTACATTAATTTGTTAAGGCATTTAATCCTATTGGAAAAGTGCAGATTACAATTATAACATACCCAAAAGTTGCATGGACTAACTTTATTGAAGATAATAATCGTTGTTATAGCTGGCTAAATGAGGTGCATTTTGCATTGCAAACTTGTTTCTCATCTTAAATTTCAAATATAACCTCACAGCTAAGCCAAAAAAAAAAATGTTGGAAAAAATGGTTTATGATATATTTTAAAAATCGTTTTCACAACTGTTGAAACGAACTAATTTACTATATAATGTATTATATTAGATACGACTTAGGTGTTTCTTAATGTTGTATTCTGTCTGTTCTGCATGAATTCACTTCATTCCTAAACAAGGCTTAGAGCTCATTTCTGGATATAGTGTACTAGTTATCAAAGTGAATAAAACTTTTTTCATAAACAATATTTATGACATATCCTGTTGATTCTATTTCCAATTCTTCATTATGTCTTTGAAAATAAGGGATCAATATTACGATTATGATAATTCAATTCCATTGTATTTCCATATATCTAATATGATGAATGTTAGTAATTATTAGAAATTATCGGACTGGTAAAATAAGGAATATTCGCGGTATGAATCTAAATTACAGACACATTTACAAACCTGAAACGCGAGATTCGAATTTGCGCCTCTGTAAATGAACACTCCCCTCTTGCTGTACCAACAGAACGTGGTGGGGAGGTCATGTGGTAGCACATTGGACTGAAAGATTTTGTATTTGACAAAAAAAGTTACAATGTAATTTTATGGACACATCTGTAATCGACAATCACGCACACACAGATTTGTATTATTCAGGGTGTGCATTTAGTGCATCAAAGGACGCCTTCTGTACGTGTTTATTGCACATTATCTTTCACCAGTTTGTCAGGCCTGAAAATGCACGATTGGGTAAGGTTAAACCACATACACAATCTTTATCGCTTGTGTGTGTTGTGGATCTGATCCAATTACAGTTGTATTCAATAAACACTTTTTGTGACGTTTTATCCACAAACTATTCACGCTGTAGAGAGTTAGGTACGACGTATATTCACCGCAACAAAAGTTAATTTTAATAATGTTTGAGGGTCTCCTGTTTTGAGTCAAATAAGGCATCACACAGATGTGATTTTTTTCAATGTTAGAAACCATAAACTTGCGGTGGTGTAACTTTTTCTTAGTTGCATATTAGACAGAAGGAATTGGTTTGAGGACAAGGAAGCAACCAAGATTTGGAGTTTATACAAAATGTTTTGATGATGTTGGTCTCTGA